CGTCGTTAAAAACTTAACGATGATATTGACATGCCACCATAAGCATAGGGATGGCAACGGTGCGGTTTCGGGTCGGGGATTGGTCCCCCCGTCCCCGTCCCTGTTTAAAAAACTCTTACTTGTTCCCGCTTAAAAAACCGCGGGGATCCCTATCGGATAATCGGGGAAAACCGCGGGGAAATGAGTATCCCGTTTAGTATAAATGGTTATTTAAACGGGTATCGGGCCGGTATATATATTTAAATTAAATATATAAATATTATATATATATATATATATTTAAATTAAATTAAATTTATTAATATTACATATATATATATATATATAATAATTATTTTTAATATTTATCGGGCCGGGTATTCGGTAATCGGGGCGGGGATTACCAAACCCATCCCCGTCCCTATTTAAAGCATTCTATTTTTCCCCGTCCTCGTCCCCGAACCCGACCCGTTTAATTTAATTTTCGATTTTCCCCGATGAATTTGATTTTTTTTGCCATCCCTACATAATCATGGAATCAAGATTTCAACTTGAGGGGGCAAAATATAACTTTTCTAAAATTATGGAGAATTTCATAATTATCTCATAAATATTTAAATTTTGTATATAAACTAAATGTAAAAAAATTGCCGGTTTTGGGAGGGACACATCCCCTCCCATGCCCTTAATAGTTTCATCCATAATCATAAGGTAATATCTCGTTGTTATTGGAAAAAACAAAAAATATCACATTAGCAGTTTCGTCATTTTTATCAACTGGATACCAAATTACAACATACAATAAATGTTAGGTAAGATTTAAAAAAAAGTAGATTCTTAAATAAAATAAAATTAATAATTTAAATACTAAATATATAATTTACCAAAAAAAACCTAGTCTTCGAATCACGAAGACAATCGTCTATTAATCCAAAACCACCTGTTATCTGTATTCAAATAAAAACAAAACCATCCAATAGGTAGGGTTATCAGTATATTGAGTCAAGTTAAAATATTTTGAGTTATTCGAGTTGAAAAATCTTATTTTACAACTCGAAATTTACTTGAATTTTTTTATTCGTGTCGAGTTAAATTTTCGAACTTTTGTTTAAATTTAATTGTAAATATTTATAATATTATAATATTATTTGATTTTAATTTAAATATTATATATATATATATATATCTTCATATTTTTTCATATACAATACATATATATATATATATATTCATGTGTGATATAGATATATTATACAAATTCAAGAGACCCGACTCAAACTTAAACATTAATCTATTAATTACAAAGAATTTTGAGATATTCGAGTTGTATTTTACAACTCGATTTAAACTTAAATTTTTATTGAATCAAGTCGAGTTTATGAAATTATAACTCAAAATCACTTTGATTCAAGTTTTCTTAAATTGAACTAAATCGAAAAATCAATTTTTTCAAATCTAATTAAATTTTACTCACCCCTACGACAACATGTGATAGCTGCCATTACACCACCTCATCTCTTCTTCTTTGCAACATTGAGCCCATCAAGACTCAAATGCAACAAGTCCAATGACTCTTAGAACATTAGACCCAAAAACAAGGCATAGGTACGAGATACTGACGTTGAAGTTTTACGTTGAGAGATATAAATATCTACTATTTTAAGAATAATAAACTTATAAAATTTTAAATGATAAAATATATTATTAATTAAAAATAAAAAATATATACAAATTTAAAATTTTCAAAAAGGACAATGGTCCCCTCTCAACCCCTTCAATTTATTCTTGCTGACACCTACTACTACATTGTGATGAGTGACATAAGTATTATTTTAAATTATAATATTTTTTTATAGTTTGAGATTTTTATAAGATATTATTTGTTCATAATTTTTATTCATATATATATATATATATATATAATTGCTCGAATCTCGGGTCTAGAAAAAATAATATTTTCTTTTACTACAAAGACCCCTAATGAATTCTTAAACGATGTTACTTAGATTAAAAAAATCCTCAAAGACGAGCATGGCCCTAAAAAAAGAGGGGAAAGTTGGCTAGTAGCAGTATCCAATAGGAAACATAATAAAAAGAAAAGATACAAATCAATTTCAATTGCAATAGGTTATGGTTTTTCTTCATTAAAGAAGAAACCTAAATTAGGTTTAGTTGATGATAGGAACAGGAACATTGGGACCAAATAATTATATTTGAGGACCATCCACTTTATTCGGCATAGGAATGAACATATGATTTTATGTTGGGAAACGAATTTAAATTTTAGACGAATGAACTAATACTTTAGGGGTGAACTAAAATTTTAAAGGAACAAAATAAATTTTTTAAAAAAAATACATAAAAAATTTAAAATATATAATAATTTTAAATTTTAAGAGCTGCTCCATCCTGTTTCCTCTCGTTCATGCCTAGGCACACCCACAGTTTATGAAGTCAAGAGACATGATCCATGAAATACGGATTTTCTGCCCTACTTTTTTGACATTCTAGTCCCTCTTCACCCAACCATCACTACACCATTTAATTTATTACCTATTCTAGGTTGAGGACGGGACATGGTTCAAACCTAAGCATGATGTTTATAGGCTTAGAAAATCATACAACCCAGTTGTCATTATTTTAGTAACTTGTATCTAACTATATTTAATATTTTACGAAAAACATGATTTAGATTAAATATACCATATACAATCAAAATTATTGATAGTAACAAGGTGGTTGTATTGATCATGAACAATTCACTCTTTCTGATTTGAGCAGAGAGTTGATGTCGATCATTGATCAACCGTTAGTAAAATTAGTGTTAAAGATGTAATAGAGAGTAGCGATATCGAATTGATTTTTAAATATATATTTGAAAAAGAGGGAGGTCCTTTTCTCTGTCAATCATTGGATTTTATACATAGACCCTTCGTGTATATTAATGTCAGATTTAAGATCATCATTATCATTTGTAAGTTAATAATGTGTATAAATGCATTAGTCAGATAATAGATCCGATCCTGATAAATCTATTAGATTTATCGCATGTTCTTCTCAAAGTTTGATGGTCGACCGAAAGACTTCCTTCATGGAAGACTTTCTCCAAACATGATCCTAGCCGCGGAATTATGACTTCAAAAGAATTACATGTCCCGTAGATATAACAAAAATGAAAAAAAGAATCACACTATTACCTGGGTGCCATAAAAGTACATAAGCTGCTCATGGGACCATATATCCCTACCATTCACTAGGTTAAACGTCACGGTCTTAAATATGTAGAACATCAAACACCGCCATGACACAGATAAGGTAGTGCCCTTTTTAAGACCTCACTTTAACATAAAAAACCTCAATTTAAATTATGTAAGCCATTATATAGTTGGTTTAATTTTAATAATCGACCAGTACAAAAGATTCTCCATTACAAAGACCACGACAAGAAACCTGTATCTTAATGGATGGATAGAAGGGTGTTGGAGTGCGGTAGCCCCTCTAAAATTTTTAGATTTTCTTATATTTTAGATTTTTTTTGAATTTTTTCTAATTTCACATCTCCTAAAATTTATATTTCCGCATCTTCTAAAATTTTTAATATAACTTCTTAAATTCACACCCCCTAACGTAAACTTTTACGCCTATCCCTAAGTATCTTGTATGATCTCTTAGAAATTGCCCCTACAAACATCACAATTACTTCGATTTGCTTGTCTCATGGCATCATTAGTACATGTCCACTCTAAAATTCGAATTTTCTTCGATTAATTATTTATTTTATTGATGGTGTCTACTCTGAAATTTGAGTTTTCTTTGATTAGATATATATTTTATTGACAGTGTCCACCTTAAAAATTTTATGTCCATCCATTTAAAAATTTATATTGTTTTTTAATAGAAGTCGCTAGTATTATTAAAAAAGTGAAAAATATCCTAAATTATAATAAGAGTTTACAACTATCATAGTAAACTAAATACATAATTTGGACTTTTCTTATAACATAAAAATCAGCCACTTTAGATCATATAAGGATCATACATGGAAAAGGTTAAAAACCTAACCAAGAGACTTGAACAAAAATATATACGAATAAATCTGATTACATCAGCAAACGAACCACAAAAGGGAATTAAGTTATTGAAAGATCACCGAGAATGCAGATCAGAGTCGAGTGTCATGAAAAATTATCCACAAATGCAAAATCACGCATCCAAATTCAATCTAAAGGTTCATAGCAGGGAAGATCAACAAATTTTCAAATAAACACTATATTGATCAGTCTTGACATCGTCAAATACAACTATGAGAAAACATAAATAAAAAAAACAGACAAACGATCAAGAAAAAAAATTGAAAAACATGCCACAAAAACAGAGATAAATGTGTCACAAAGACAGAGATAAACATGCCACAAAGACAGAGATAAACATGTAACACATACATAATTATTTTTATTAAAAAAAAAGAAAAAAAAAAGAAAAGAATATCGGTAGTCGACAATCAACATTAAACCTGGTGCCGCCGCAGGATAAAGAAAATTGAAGAAGAAAAAAAGTTAATATGATTTATGAAAAACAATACAAACTTAAATAGAAAAAAAGAGAACAAAAATTTATATTGTTAACAATGTACCCATCCCAAAAATATATTTATGAATTCATCATCGGTCACTACACATCTACTTTCCCCTTTACTTAAAGATTTTAGTTATCATTCTTTATATTTCCATACCATATTTTCTTCGATTTGAAAGGGCATTAATATGACAAGATGAACCAAGAAGGTGTTGTGGGTAATATAAAGCCACTTGAAATTTTATAATTTCATTTTTCTTAAATTTCTAATATAATCTCCTAAATTCGTACCTTGACATAAATTCTAACATCTGTCCATGAAAATTATACACGTCCGTATTAATTTCAAAACTCAAACAGGAGCAGTACGGTGAAAAAAATCTTCATAGTTCATTTATGTAAGCTTATCAGCAGTAGGTAACTGACAATACAATGCACCAAATAGCTTTAAGATAAAACCAATGTAATGTAGTTGAAGTAAAACAGGCACTGTTAGTTAGGAGCTTAAATGTTCAATGTAGTTCACTTTAAATAAAGAGAGATCGAAAGCATACGATAGACCAAACAACCAGTGGAAACACCAAGAACAAAGGATGCAAAGATCAAAAAGCAGTGGCCAAAATGTTGCAGTTGAAGTGGCTGCACATCGCCCTGTTGAAATAGGTACCAAAGGAACTGTGGGATCCTTGTTACTGCAAGAGATCGACTACTTCAACCGGCTCAGGCTCGAGATACGCTGTCGGGATTGCTCGAACAAGCCTCGTTGTAGATCTATTGTTGGACCGGTTGTGGCAGCTGAAAAGAAGAAGAATAGAGGCAGCAAACTTGTAGCAAGCATTTGTTCTATGGTGGAAGTATCGGAAAACAGGCCGGTCGGGGTTTCAGGTTTCGGATATAGGAACCTGAAATCGGATTCGAAGAAGTTTCAAGACTAGATGATGCTCTCGGAGAGCTTGGAGAATCCGAGCTTCTTGAGACGATTCGTTATCGGACTCGCCCATGCTTGATCCGAATTTCCACATTTTACGTCCACAACTTCAACAATGTTTGACACTTTCTTGTCACTTTTCTGTCTGATAGGAGTTCTTTCTAATGCAACATTTTCGGAGCCAAGCATTGGCATCTGATGCACGTTTTTAGAAAAGCTTCGTGTCTTCTGAACAGAACCTTGGAGGCTTTTATAACTCGTGCCGCTATGAACGCCGCTGGTGCCGACTCCATCCGATGATTTCCTCAGCTGTAAACGTCTCGGAATCGCAGATGAACCATCAACTGATGTAGCCAGAGACTTGTGTCTAAGAGATACAGGTGTTTGCTTTGGTGTTTTAATGGAGTCCAGTTCCCTTGTCATCAGTGAACTGATTGTCCCTTTAGTTCCCACCTTAATTGATCCTCCACCACCTCCATTGATAGCTTCTAGTTCCTGAACCATGTTTGATGTTTCCTTTACAATTATATGATTATTGTAAGCCTGTTTTTTTGCCAGACATTTCAATGAAGTCAAAAATCCTGTCATACAACAACAAAAATGAATAAAAAAATGAAATTAGTATATACTTGAGTAACCATTGAGGAATTTTAACAAACAGATAGGTTACGGGGTCGAATCTCAACATCTGCAACAATTTTACATATCCAAAACTTCATTTGTAATATGAATATGAAACATCAGATTATGAATCAAACCCTTAAACAGTAAACCAAAATTTCAAGTTCTTGCATCAAATCTCATCACAAAATCAAAATCATAAACCAAAAGGAAATCCCATCAAGAATCAAGCAGAAACGGGGTCAAATCCAGAAAAATCAAGAAAAATTACAAATAACAAAAGTATCCAACTTTTCGAAGGATTCAACATCATAATACTATGACAGACCTTTCCAATCACAAGCAATCATTACAAAATCACAACAGAAGTTCATAAAGGGCTGAAATTTAAAAGCTTACCCTTTTATGTACAAACTACAAAATAAAACTAGGAGGGTGAACTCAGCAACTTTGAAGATGACTCATCGAACTGAATCTGACCCCAAAAAACAACCAAAAAGTGAAGCTACACTACATGAAAACAAAACCCACCGAGGATTTCAGATCTTAGGACGAAGATCGGTGTGTTTTGTATTATGTCGCCTTCAAAACCATATCTAATCTTCCTTGCTTTTGAAATCTAACCTATTTTGCAAAAGTGTTTGTGTCTTTATCTGTAACTTGTCAGAAGGTCAACCAGCACCAATCATCGTGCAGTAAAATCTGACACCCACATGTTTCGAGAGAATGGTAGTTTGCCACGTATATATTGATATTATATAATTTTATAAAAAAATCATAAAAATAAAAAGTACCCATTTCTAAACTAATCACATCAAAAAAATCTATCATCTTTCTTCTTTAATATAAGGTCTGTAAACGAACCGAATACATACGAACGGATGTATATTCATGTTTGTTCATTTAATAAATAAATGAATATAAACAAACACGAACATAAACGAATAAATTTTTTTTTGTTCATGTTCGTTCATTAAAGAATATAGTTTGTTCATGTTCGATCATTTAATAAATAAACGAACATAAATGAACACGAACATAAACGAACATAAGCGTTGGAGACCCTACCTTTCATTGTTCTTTTATGAAAAATAGTCGACAATGCAAATCAACCAAATCTACAGTGATAAATAGCATAAGAGCTGATTAACAGTGATGAAATGTTTGAAGATATAAGATATTTCGATCGATCTTTTAAAGATATTAAATGATTCACACGACTTTAATTTAACGCTATAACATTTATCTTAGTGGCCCATGATTACATATGAACAATCATTTTTCACTACGTTATTCTAATAAATTCGTCGGCTAAAATATTTGTGACATCAATGTCAAACTTTAGTGAGATTTGTTAATAATGGTATTTTCCGTTGGCAGAGTAGAAAATTTAACAGCATGAAGATTTCGAACGGTACAAATTGGACTACAAGGCAATAACATAGACCCGAAATCCCTCAGATGCTACATATTGTAACTGATATTATTGTTAAACCACTATTCAAATTTTTAACGTACCTAAAGTCTACTCCACAACTAAAGGTCACACAAGAACTATGAAAACAAAAGTTCATTGTCAAAGTGTATTTTCTACTTATTAATGAGTTCTTCCTGGAAAACCAATTACTTCCGCTATTACATTTTTTTCAGAAATTGCATAGAAATCTTTGTTTGATTTTTTTGGCAAATTCTATATATTTTTCTCTTTACTGATGGTCATATAGTTCCGATTGTTACCCTTAGCTTCCCATCTATTTCTAGAAAGAAGTATGATGTTTTCTTGAGTTTTAGATGTGAAGATACCCGCAATAACTTTACATATCAACTATTAAGCCAAATAAAACAAAGAAAGAGATGAAAATAGACATGTAAAACTTCATATTGCACTATAATATAACTTGTTTTGAAGCTTTCATCGATCGTCTCCACTCTCCAGTGAACACTAGCGTTTGGGAAAAAAAGTGAGAAAATTAATATAGGAGCGAGGTGCCTCACGGGTTAACATATTAGATTTAATCTCCAAATAAAATTGGATTAATATGGAGTTGGTCATCAGAATATCATATTAATTAATATTTTTAAGATACTTACAAATTGATCACTAAAATTGATTTAAGAATATTAGGTTAAACATAAATGAACGAACATAAATGAACATAACCGAACGTTCACGAAGGTAAATGAACGAACGAGACCTATGTTTGTGTTCGTTCATTTAATTAAACGAACACAAAATCTTATTCATGTTCGTTCATTTAATAAATAAACGCACATAAACGAACTTCCCGCCGCATGGTTCATGAACGGTTCGTTAAACGTTCAGTTTATTTACAGGCCTACCTAATATAATCTATCTTTCTCTTTATTTATTTCTTTTAAGTTGATTGGTCATCGATTTTTTCTACTGAAGGTGTAAATTTGTTGTTCTTATTCCTTTAATAAATTTATCGAATATTTATTATTTTATTAATTAATTGTATTATTAATTTTTAGTAGTTATAAAATGAAAGACGGAAAATATTACGATTAGATGTAAATAATATTTTGAGGCATTTGGTCGATATGGTAAAAATATTAATTTATGTTATTTTAATTTTTTCATATTTTATTTATTTCAATAATTTTTTTGAATATTATTTCAAATTTTAATTTGTATAATGTTTATTAATTAACAAAATGATCGTATATTAGAAGTGTTTATTCAAAACAATAAGATGAACACAATGTGTCTTATCTAGAGTTATTTATCTGAGGTCGAATTTGGTTACATAGCCAAAATTGTTGGAGGCTGTAAACTTGAACCCACCCTCATTTCTGCACTAGTTGAGAGGTAGAGATGAGAGAAACACACATTCCATCTTCCACGTGGGGAGTGCACCATTACTCCAGAGGATGTTTAAATGTATTTGGGGCTTTCGCATTTGGGGCTTTCGGTAGATTGAACTGTTATTTGTGATGTGGCGGATGATAATTAACATTCTCTGTGCATTAAGTATCTTAAAGCTTCTTCGATGGAGTTCAACTGTGGTTGAATAACGTTATTATGACTGCAATCCACTTTTCAAGAGTTGAACAAAAGGTGTTCTGATAATGAGGCAAAAACATTTTCTCGGATATACATATTATGAATCATAGGAGGGATCTTGATGCTCGAAAAATATCGTAACCAAGTTCAGTGTATGTGGTTGCATCACCTCATTGATTTTGAAGTAACCAACACATTGAGTTAAGACTCTGTAGTTATGGGATTTCTGTTTTGAGAAATGTATCGGGTAACGAATTATAGTAAAACTACTATTGACATGTGTCTCATTCTTCTCAAATCATAGGCGTGGTATCACATGTCTTTTTTTATGTTTGATCGTAAATGAACCATTTGTCTTCATGTTATTATTAAGGTAATTTTAATACTGAATTTATTTATAAATGAATTCGGTACTCTCTGAAAAATGGGTTGTATTTCTGCTATTGTTTATTATAATTGAAAAATTCGACAATCTGAAGAGGGATTTGTTTTTTAATCATATCATTATATCACTTAACCTTCAAGAGAAACATCACTCTTAAGAAGTTAATCACAAAAATTTCTTTAAAAGTTCATGTTGGAAGTACTAGAAGACTATCTTCACTTCAGTACATATTTTCTACTAAATTTTTTCCCATTAACATAGACATCATTTGATATCTCCGACGATGATAATGTTGCTATGATGGTTGATGCTAAGAATGAAAATTCAGAAACTATTACGAAAATGTAAGCTACATTTGTTAAAGTATGTGCGATTCATGGTATGTCATTATACTCTTACTATAGGTTGGCTCATCAAGTTGACAACACAACTAAAATAATTTGTTATGATTTCTTATCATTAATGATAAATCCACCTCCTAGTGGCATGGCATCAAGTTTAATGAGGAGGTATTAATCAGAAATTACTTACGATCTCTACTGAGGTGGCTCCACGAACAATATATATCGCAACATCCCTTTCAGTTCAAGGGGAAAACATTCATCTGCCAACTTTTTTGACCTCAACATGGAAATGCCATAGACATAACAGTCTGTTTAATACTTATATGACACTATACCTTCAAGTTCCAGGATAAGGCATTCATCTGTCAACTTGTTCGATCTCAATATGGAGATGCATTCTACACAACAATCTGTTCAAAACCCATATGACACAATGCCTTCAAGTTCAAGGGGAAGACATTCATATGCCAACTTGTTCGTCCTGAACATCAGATTAATAGAGGAACCCTCATATGCACCAGAAGAATCACTTCGTGAGCCACATGCGGATGGTGCTGAGACATGATTAAACGTTAAAATCGAATCACCGTAATTTAACATGGACTCATCTGATGATAGTGCAGATTTAGTTATCATAAATAAGACACAAATTGAGCCTCCAACACATATGTATGAAACTAACTTTGACGCAATGTACGAGCCAAAATTTTCGGTTATGCATAATGTTGGAGACTATAGATTTAAATCAACAGTCAATGATGGTCCGTTATATATTGGAATAGAGCTCACATATAAATATGAAGCAATGATTGCAGTTAAGAATTACAATATTCATAATTCAATTCACTCTAGAGTCAATCGATCCACTATCGAAAAATATGTTTGCCACTACGTCTAACGTGATAACGGATGTAACTGTATGATTCATGTATCAAAGAGGAAAAGGAATAAAAAATATAGGAACTAACAAGATACAACGATCCTTATACATGTTGTGTAAGAGGGATCAACTATGACCATTCAAACTTGGATTCCAACATTACATGTCAAGCCATCACGCCCATGGTCAAAGCAAGCTCTCACATAGCTATTGGAGTGCTGATTTCTGCTATATAATCACAATATGAATACACCATCTCTTACAGAATAACATGGAAGACAAAACAAAATGCAATTATAAAACTTCATGACGAGTGAGATTCTTCTTACAACGAGCTACCCAGTTAGTGTAAAGTAATGCAAATACTGAATCTCGGGACAATAGTTGAGTTTGAAACTCACCATGCATACGAGAATAACCGAGTGCTTTAGACCAATACCATTTATACCATCTTTTTTGGAGTTATCCACAGTGCATTAATGTAGTCAAATACTACAAACTGGTGGTCCAAATTGATGGTACATTCTTGTATAGAAAATTCAAGTAAGTTTTATTATTGTCAGTTGTCCAATATGATAACCACAACATTATTCTCGTTGTATTTTCTCTTGTTGAAGGAGAAGATACATAATCTTGGTGTAACACCATAAACCGATTAGACACATAGTCAAACGATTAGAATGGCACACGGGTTCACCGGAGTGGCTAACCCAATTTTTTTATTTAATTTATCATTTAAAACAATGATTAAAAACCATTAAAATCAAATAATTCAACTATAAATATATATAATAAGTTTAAACTGGGGAGCTCCCAAAAGTACAAATATATCAAAATATACAATCAAACTTTTCAAAAATAAAGTTACGACTTGAAATATGCAAGGGTCGACAAATAATACATGCCCTCTAAAGAATAACTCGAGACATACTCTGCTTTACAATCGATCTAGATACGGCTATTCAAAAAGGCTCCTCAAAGCTCCT